AGAGAGTTACTTTCATGGACAATCTATTCTTACCAAAAAAAATAAAAATAAAATTTCAATACTTAATGTAATGCTTAAGGAGCTATTCCCAATGGCAATTTTGTATGGTTTGTCGCAATGCTTAATGGTGGCCTATTTCTTTGTGGGACAATAGCCTTTAATGATTAGATCTTGCCCTAATCACAATGTTTGGTTCCTGAAAACTTGAGGTGCACTGCATACATTTGCATACTTATATTTAATTTAAAATAAAAAAACAAAAAATGAAATATCATTTTTTATATTTATTTTATAGACATTTTTTAATTAATTTTTTAATGTATAATTTTTTTTTTCATTTAATAATATATGAACTTGATTTTCCTAAAATTATAAATTAAAACAAGTTATACAATATGTTTCCTCCAATACAATTGTACAAAAAAAAAATTAGGGGTTTTCCGGTGCATGGACATAAGAAACAAAGATCAGGTGTAGTTTTCGATCGTTGGTGGTTTGGTCTATGTGATATTAGACAGACAAAAAAAAGGAAAAAGTATAAATAAAAGAAGGGTTTTTTAAAACTTACAGGTAGTTTTTTGTTTTCATAAATATATAAAAAAATATAAAAGTTAATATTAATTTTAATAGTAATATTAATTAGATGAATTTAATTAAATAAAGAAAAAATATATATATCAATTTTTACTTTTTAAAAAATTAAATTTTTAGTCATAAATTATGTTATTTTATTTAATTAAAACTTAATGTAAAATATTAACTATTGATATTTAGATTTAAAATTTAATTAAATTTTAAATTTTGAATTTAAATCTTAGTTTTTAAATATATATTAACTTTTAATTTTTAAAAAAATTAAAATTGATACGTACTAATCGTATTAAATAATTAATAAATTAAAAATTAATTTTTATTTTTTACTACAAATTTATAATAAAAAAATATATTATTATATTATTAATATGGATTCTAAGAGTATTAGAAAAATCAATGAACTAATGAAGGTGAGGACATTTCTGTAAAGTCAGAGAAAGGTTGGGGCAAAATTGAAAACATCTCCCATCATTTCAAACCAAAGCAATAATTGCCAAGGAGGTCCCAGAAAAACAATAAAATATTAACAGAATAATATAAAAATGGAATATTTTATACTTTCCACGAATGGACATGAATCGTCCACGTCCCCCATGCGTAAAACTAAAACCTCGTACAACCCTCTGCCGACAGGATACCCACCCAATAAGGAAACCCGAAACCCCATTATTTTTTTTTTAAATGTATTATATAAATATAAAAATTATATTATACAATTTAATTGTATAATTTAAATAATTAACAAAATAAATTTCTTGACATTAAAAATTGTCCTCTAAATAATTTTTGCTCAGCCCACACTATAAAAAGGAGAATACTCATAAAAATAATTGGTGAATTTGGAATTGTAATGGTATTTTCTTGTTTATCCATTGCCGGGTCAAGCTAGACTTTTGTGAATTAATCCGCAATACAAATCAATGCACAAAATGGACATATGGGTTTGGTCGTTGGTTAGGTGTAAAGGTGCTTCTAAGAAAAAAATAAAATCGAAATCAAATGAAATTTTATATAAATATGCACATATATATATATATGAAATATAGTTTAGTTTGGTATGATATTGAAATTTCATAAATATAGAATTTCAATTGAGATTGTGTAATTTATTTTTCTCATCAACATGTCCTCATTGGTTAAAGCTTACATTTATTTTAAGATTATTATTTGTTATTATGTATTAGTGATATAAAAAATTAAAAAATACATTTGAATTATAATTTTTTTAAATTAAATAACGTTATAATTCTTAAATAATAAATTATATAAGTTCATTTGAGACTTGTTTTTACAGTACCATATGAAGTAGATATTGTATTTTCTATAAGCAATGAGTAAGTTTCTATAATAAAGCCAAATATATCATTTACCATATAGTATCTCGTTACAAAATTCTCTAACCAAAAAAAAAAAAAA